ATCAATATTTAAGATCAACAAAATCATAGTTTAGACATAAAAATAACGTACTGCATTTTGTGCTACGCCCGCTAACTACGCCACTGTTTTGTGTACCATGCATATACACCACTATATCACTTCATGCCTATCTATGCTAAAGTACGCCGCTTTGCCAAGCCCAATTTAACACTATTGTGCTACATGGAGCTCTGGTAGCTTAACTACTATTATAATGTCGTATTATTTCATGATGACAAACATACACACAATGTGTTAGACTAAAAGTAACAATACACTATTTACTATTATTTTAGAAAAAATATGAAGAATACAACAAAGACTGTAAACGTTACAGCCCGTATAACTGTAGAAATTGGCTTACAAGTGGACATTGACGAGGCCTCGAATATGGACGCCAACGATCACTTAACATCAATTAATTACATTAGTTTGGGAAGTTCTGCATCGGCAGGTCACCTGTAACAAAATCAATTAAATATTCTGAATATTCATTAAGTTATGTGTTGAATGTATTGATGTAATAGCCCCGTGCATTTCTATCACGTTTCAATGTCAGTGTGTATTTGTGCATGTACTGGAGCGGAAGCATGAAGAAATATGGCAAAGCAAATATATTTCTACGTAAACACAGAATCGGACACTGCAAAACTATCATACAAGTTCTGTTCGCTAGTGAAGAGGCGTAGTGACGTATTTAAATGAAATGTGTTATTCACAGTATTTATATCATTTTGATAGAATGTATTCCCCTTAGTAATAAAGGTTTCAATCAGAGACATTAACTATATTCTAAGTAACAAACGTCCACACAACTGAACATAGTTGTCATTCTGAACTACACCGTTTTCTCTCACTTCACAGCAGCACATCGTCGCCACAGGGCGCGATTTGTTGGGCAGTTTGGCCATAATTGAGATTCTGTTAGTGAGATGCATACTCTTAGTCGTCACCTGCGCATGCGTCAGGTGGCCATAGCATGTCATTGTTTACCCATGATCCTTTGCGTTCTTAGCGTGTGTTGTTATCGTCGCTTAGAACTCAAGTCCCGCGCGTGCGCAGGTGACGACCCTCCCGCTTTAATGTACAAAAGAAGTCAAATGTCAGTTCTTTTGCCTTCAATTGATTGTTAAATGCAAGTTTTTTTTTGTTACATTGTAAATATGTGTGCCATGTTTGTTACTTATGCTCCAGAATATTTATTATCGGATCTATCGTGATGGAATTGTGACCTAATCCGGGAACCAACAATTGATTCAAAATTATATCAGAAAGTTAACTGAAGGCATCTCATATTGCGGTCAATGTATTTGAAATAAAAATTAATAAATTATTATAAATAATTAATAAATAAAATTATAAATAAAATACAGCAGTTTAATCTGTCACACAATTATTACACCCAAGTAACATATGTGTTACATTGGCTGTATATTCTTCTCCACTTCGGGAAATGAAAAAGTGTGGGTTATCATCAAAAGCATGCGGCCTTGTACGTAGGTGCGAATCATTACCACTGAAAATATGGTTGTGCTAGATATGAAGTTCCACGCATTATATTGCAGCCAAGACGGGTATAGTATGTGTCATTTCGAAATGCAACGTGGGAACAGCGTTAACATCGACAATTGGTAACAACCGTGTGAGATACTGGCACCCGACCAGTTATACGCCCTCTTCGGTGACGTTTAAAATTATACACATCGTTTCTTTTTATCACGGGTTGCGAGCCTGTTTAATATTCGTCCTATTTACAACGTCAGTTCAACGAGAACTACACCACTGAACACATGTTAACACATGTTAAAGATAATCAGAAGATCGATCTACAGGAGGGTATATGACCAAGAAATTAATACCCTAACTTTATTTATTTACATAGCTGCTGACCGAAGGTTAATAAGATAACGAGATTATAGCTATTCATAGTATTCTCCGCAACATAATGTTTTCAGTTTGTAATAAATGTTGGTAATAAAATGTTCAACAGTTTGTATTTTAGTCAAAACACATCTAATGAATTCCCGTCGCCATCTCAGTATGGAGTACAAAAAGCAAAAAAATAAGAGACAAAAGAATACTTCTTGATTTTCGACATAAATGATAATAATCGTAAACTATTAAAGCGGGAGAGTCGTCACCAGCGCACGCGCGGGAACTGAGTCCCAAGCGACGATAACAACACACGCTAAAAACACATGCGCCCTAGCAGGTGACGACTCCCCCGCTTTAACTAACTTCTCATAATCCTAGCACAATTATTATATATTATGGTAGATTCTAGCGATGGAAAGTATCAAAGATATTTCCCACAATTTCTCGAAAGCGATTATTATCTAATCCATCGTATACAAATGTCAGCGACACAACAAATCCGCCCGTGGGTAAAACACTTTTAGTCAATATAAAAGGACGCACTGAATGATTGATATGTTTGTTATTATCGCGCTGCGCA